AAAAGAAAATAAGCAAGAACTCATCTTGATGAAAGATGGAATACTTTTAATGTAATGAAAGCCAATTTTTTATACGAGGCTTCTAAAAAAGTAATTCTCATTCTTAATAGTTCGTTTATTTATCCAGCTTTTTTTTCTTTCATTCCTTCATTTATTGAATGAACATTTATTCAATGCCTGCTATACATCAGGCATTACTCTGGATAGCAACAGAACAGTAAGCCAGGCAGGATCCCTGCCTTCATGGGGCGCCTCTCTCCTCCTGTTCCTTTTGTTGGGGGGAGAGAACACAATATACATATAATCAGATGTATCATAGGATGTGAGATAGTTATAATGCTGTGGCTGAAATGTCACTTGGTGCGTGGATTGACATTGATGGCAATGCTTCTTTATGAGGGTGGTTAGAAGAGGTCTAGCTGAGGAGGTGACATTGCATCATAAATCAAAAAGGAGCAATAGAGAAAGCCATGTAACCATCTGGGTGAGAGAATCCAGGCAGAGGAACAGTGAGCCTATTGAGGTTCAGCGTGTGGGGTAAAGCCCTGTGTGGAATAAATTATGTAGCTCTCTGAAATACTGTGATCACTTGAAGCTTGGAGGGCTAGTCATCTGATGGTCTTCTCAGGGCTTCAAATCTTGAAGCCAGGTTGGTACCATATTACCTGTTGCTCTGCTTATGCCAGTACCTTAATTAATGCTTTGATTTCATGTGAATATTTTTGTTTTCTTGGCATACAGAATTGACCTTTTATAACCGAAACCTTCAGCCATGGAGAGGAAGCACTGCTCTAGAAAATGATTGAAACAGAAAACTACTCTCATTCTAGAGGGCGTAGGCATTTTCTCGCTGAGGTTTGTGAGTTACTGCTGGGCTAGGCTGGAACCAGGAAGACCTTCTGAGCCACGGTTTCCTGGCTTAGTGTCATTCTGTTTCAAGTGAATTATTATAAGAGCAGATGCATTTATGCAAATCCAGCTGTAAAAATATGTTTCAAGGAAAATAAGAATTGTTTTTGTATTATCCATTTTGGCTTCTAAATCATTATAAAACACTGAGCTGACTTTAGTCATAGAACAATTAAATTGTGTGAACAATTATTCAAAGAATACTTCTAATCAGATGTCTATTATCTCTTATAAATCCTGAAAATGTTATAGTAATGTCTATTTGAAATCTGAAAAACAAGAAAATTCAAATTATCATTTCTATTCTTATGTGTTCAGAAGAGAAAAGTGTTTCTAATGGGAAGAGATAATGCGTAAAGATGACTTCAAATAAACTACCATAGGTAAATTTCAGTCAAGATTCTGTTAAATCTCTTATGCTTCTATAAATCCATATAATTGCAAATGATTGTTGAACCCAGTAGTGATTCCCCACAGTAACTTCTGAATAAGGCAAATTTAAATGTTGGTCCATGCAGCAGCTTCAGTGTCGTATACATACCTCATTGCTTTTCACTTTTCTGAAATGGGTAATGGAAACTTGGATCATTGGAACAATCAAAGGAACAAAACAATATATTCTCAGATGATTCCATCACCATTCCCAGTGTGGATTTACTAAACCTGTCTCATTTTTGGCTTTTTCTTTTGAGGGAATTAGGATTAGTAAAAATATGTATCTAATTATATAATGAAAAAACATAAAAAGTCCATCTGCCTTTTCTCCTAAGCAATTCCTTCCTTCTTGCTTTTAACTCAACAGAAACAACTTCCAGGTTTTCAGATTATCTCAACTTGCTTTTTTTACATATATCCCAAATCTGGCTACTGGGTTAATATACAAAAATTATAGAAGAACTGAATTCCTAGGGATTAGATTGTTCAGAGAATTTCTGTTGTTAGGAGCCTTTTAACTGAAATATTTAAGTCAATATTAACTAATTATGGTTGAGAAGAGAAATAATATGACTTCTCTTTTGTAATGTTGGGGACTGATCACCTCTGATTTATCTCGACAGTCTAGACTTAGAAATTTTTTTTCTGTGGAAAAACAGATACCAGGAAGACTTGCATGCTTGTGATTCATGCAGTGTTTGACTTATGTTTTTCAAGCTGCAATAGTTCAGAATCACAGCACTTCTCATCACCTCCAAGCAAACCCAGAAAATACAGCATCCTTTCACTTAAGACTCCTGAGTTGGCCGTACATGGAAATGTCAGGAGAATTTTGTGGCAACCACGTGCCACAGGCATGCGAGGATGTGGTACCACTGGAATGAACCCTCCCATTTCACTGACAACATATGTTATATATTAATATGGTTCCGGCCTCTGGATTTTAATTTCTTGGTGATGGGTTCTATATTTGGGTAAAGAATTGTCTGGTCTAACTGTCTTTATTATAATCATTTGGATTAAATGATTATTTTCCATGCAAATCTAAATAAGACTGAGACACTGTGGGTGCCAAGGATTTCTGTGTGTTTCAGGGTTAAGAATAACAAGGGAGCCTGTTCTCTGTCAGTGGTGAGAAATCATCTTTGGAGGCAAACACTCATATATACTCGGATCAAGACTTGAATGAATGTACTGGTTGGACTTCAAACCCAAACCCAAACTATTGCCAGTAACCAGAGGTGCATCCTTGCAATCCACGTGGCAAACAGTGAGGGAGATTTGGAAATACTCACTTGCTGTGATTGGGAACCACAGAAAAGGAGACTCTCAGGCTATTCTGATAGAAAATAGTGAACTGTCTCAACTTTGTCCAATTTGGAAATTTCCTTTATGTATTTTTTTTCCTCTTCTTTTTTGACTTTTGAAAGTAGCAACATAATACTGGTCCCAGACCTTCAAGGAGAAAATCTAAATTAATTTCTTCCTATCATACGCCACTTAAGAGAAAAACACTACTTTTTTGTGTATTCAAAAGTACAATTGGTGCACTGACCTCTTACTTGTACTGATTTCACATATAGATAAGACAGTGTGTTTTAAAAAGCATATCATCTTTACACAATGTACAAATAATAGTAGTTATGAGTGGTAATAGTGGTTTGGATTATTCAGATTCTCTTGTCATCTTTTAAACATCTTTTTTTAATTATTTGTCCTTTGATCATTTAAGCATCCCTGGAGTTTGTATTCTTCCTTTAGAGCTGAGAGTTTTATCTCATCACCCCTCATTTCCATTTGCCTTTCTCTTGGTTTACACCCCTTGACACTTAGGGAAGGGAAAATTCTTTTGCCAGATTCTTAGGCTTTGACTTCAGGCAGAGTTCCATGAACACCCACGAAGCAAAGACCACTGTTTGGAAAGAAAAGTAGACAACCATTCTTTTGAATTCTTGTTGCTTGTTGTAGGAACTTAGAAGTGAGGTACAACAGCCAGGCTGGAGAGCATAAATCGTGGGAGTGACAGGAGGAACATTTGACCCAGCTGTTTGTGGTCAGCATAGGCAGTAGGGGCATAGTGCAAATCATGCAGTTTTATTGATGGACAAATGAATAAATCGCCAAACTCAGGAGGAAACACAGAAAACAGTGATCTTCAGTGGAGGCCATCATGTTTGTCACTAACTCATTTCTGTAAATACCTCCAACTAGTTTTTTTGTGGATTTCAAATGGTCTTTTTTTCAAATTAGATGAAGGGATGGGGATTGTATTGGAGAGTACAGACTCTTTCCCCAGATGAGATGTTCTTTTTTCTTAAAATGTACTCACAAGCTTTTTGTAAATATTACAAGAGAGATAAAAATTTCTTGACCTCAGTGTAGAATCAGAATGTCACAATTGAGCATTTAAATAGTTTTTATGCAATCCTGTGATCAGTTGGGTCCATTCTGCCTACCAAGTAGTGTTGCCAGTCACTGGAGTTTTAAAAAATAGAGTTTATTCATGAGGTAGACAAATGAGAGGAAGCTCCCAGACTCAAACCTGCCTCCCCAAGGATAGGTTTAGGGAAGGGTATGGGACAAAGAAACAGGGTGGTCTGAGGCCTGGGGAGAAGTGAAATGTGAGGTACTTGGTAGGCTGTGCATGTGAACTAACTTCCCAACTTTTCATATGAGGCCTGTTTAGAAAATGCTAGTTTTGGCATGATCTATGCATAGGGTTTTTGCTCTCTGAGGTCACCTGTCCAATATTTGTGGAGATCCAAGGGGTTGGTGGCTTCGGTTTGAGCTGGATAAGGCTGTATCTCCAAATCCCTAAAAGAATGATGAAAACCAATTCTTACCAGGTAACCATATATCAGAAGCATTATCTGTAGTAATGCCAGCAGGGGTTCATTACTTTTTTGTTTAGTAAAGTGGCTTCTATGACAAGTGAAAATAGAGGGCTTGTTCAGGTTTTTTTTTTCTTAGTTTTGAAAAGAAGAATATGCTCTTTGTTCATTTTGGTTTTTCATATTTCGTTCATGTCGGGTGGGGTGGGGATTTGGTCTACCTGTGTTGCCCAGGCTGGCCTCAAACTCCTGGGCGCTTCAGGATTCTCTGGCCTCAGCCTCTCAAGTTGCTGGAACTATAGGCACTTTCTGCTGCCCCTCCTTCTCTTGGGTTTTTCAACTTTTAGGAGGCAGAATGTCTTAAGGCTCTTACAAGAGAAAAGAAATGTATTTATTTTCTGCTGGGAACTTGGTTGTAGTCTTTGTATCCCTGTTTGAAACTGACTGTGTCATAGACATTAACAATCAACAATTTTTGTTTTCTTTTTGTTATTGTGAAAGGGCCTATTGGTGTGACAGTTGGTAGGACTTCCTGTGTTACAGAAGAGCCTGGATATTAGGGGTACCAACAATTTACCTTCAGTGAATCACGTGAAAGCATTTTCTGAGAAAAGTAAACTTGATCTTCAAAAATCGTGCCATTTTGAAGTGCACCTGCAATCACTGAACTCCATCCGTGTAGTCAGAGCCAGAGCAGAGCCCGTGCTCCTTTCCTATGTGTCATAATGCCCTGTCAGGTTCTTGGCCTGGTTGTGACCAAGTGAGCATCACTGCTGCATAGCTCCAGGTATTACATGTGTTGACTGTGGCCTTTTCTGGTGCCAGGGAACAACGTCATGAGGACCATCCATGGGGTGGGAGAGATGATGACCCAGATGGTGCTCAGCAGAGGCTCCATCTTTCCCGTGAGTGTGCCTGATGTGCAGCCCAGCATCCACCCCACTAAGCAGGTGAGCCCCACGGAGCATGAGGACGTGACGGTGATGGACACCAAGCTGAAGATCATCGAGATTTTACAGGTGCGTCCCATGACAGACACATTTTGCTTATATTTCACTAAGCTTTTTGTTCCCAGTCGCTATGTGAGTATTCTGAAATGCTGTTTATCTAATTTTATTTTTTAAAGTTATGAACAAGCCTGGTAAGACATCTTACACAGATGCTATTTAACATATTAATTCTATTTATTTATTCTATTAAATATACTAATGATAATATCCAGCAATTACGGAGTGCTTTGAGCTGGCTAAAACTGCTTTCATGTGTGTATGTGTATATATATATATAAAATATATATATTTTTTCATTTGATATTGATCCTGATTGAATTTTTCCTCATTTAGGAAGTATTTATGCAAGGTAGAGTTAATGATTGAATTCCAATTATTTTCCTGTTTTTAATTGAATCAAGCATATGATTCCAAATATCCAGACTTATTGTTGTTGCAAGAAACTCAAATAAAAATTGTTATCATTGGTTCTAGTGATTTATATAAATAACCATCTCTCTCTGTGCTTTTGTTTTTAGGGGACAGGGAATAATTATTTCCTGAAAAGTTAACCTACTCTAATACCTTAACTTTATGAATTTAAACAACATAAACTCTTATTACACATGCATTATTTTAGTGAATAAATTTCCATTAGAGTAGCTTATAAATTCTTAGCACTTTTCTTTTTTGTTAAGTTTGGAAAGCAGTTTTATGATACCTTAATTATAGCATTTATTCCAGATTTGGAGACTGGAAGCTGGAGTTTTCAAGAATCTCTTAAGATTCTGGATATAGTTTACTAAGTCTTTCATCATAATTTAACATAGACTGAGCTACCAGAAGTGGGTCAGTAGTCCTGGAAGGGTCTGTACATTTTTCATTCAAAGTAATTAGATTTATAATCATAAAAGGCTTCACAGTTCCTCCAGGAATTCCAAAGGCTGAATCCTGAGACACATTGGCAGGCCTCCCAACCCTGTGTTCATGACCCTGAAAAATCACTTAGAGTTTTCCTATTCTTAAGCTGAGAAAGGCAGTCATCACCTGACCCAGGGACCTAATGAGCCCCCAGCTTAACATCATCCTGCTCATGGGACGACCTCTAAAACATGTGACCTCCTTTTAGCCCACAGTTGGAGAAAAGGAGCATTAGAAAAAAATTCTTAACAGGTAAAAAAGGATGAAATGAGATTCTGAGGCACAGCAGTCAGGGGCTGATTCATTTTTGCTGCCTCTTTGGGCACTTTATGAATTCTCCTTGACCCTCTGTTCAGTCTGATTGCTGGTCCCTGGGTCGGGGTCAGTTTCACTGATCCTGTTCTTGAGCATGTTTCTTTCTTGAAACTTCTGTTGAAGAATTTCTTTGTAGCCACACTCCTTGGCAGATCTTCTGCTTTCTACTAGCTCTTCTTCTCTCTCAGGATTCTTATTTTTCCCGTTTTTAGTGTATCCTTCTTTTTCAGTCTGTTTATTTCTCTCTCAGTTCATTCTTTCTCTCACCTTTTCTATATGGTCTTTCTCTGCCTTTGTTTTTATTTGTTCCTTTCGTCCATGAACCTTCTATTTGTTTTTCATAATTTGATGTAGTAGAGAATTCAGTGTTTTATTTTGGTTATATTTAGGATTACTAATCTTCAATTAAAAGAGAAAGGATATTTCACATTTAATTAATTTGTTTCTTACTTTTTTTTATATAAGCTTTAAAAAAAACCCCTCAGATTCCTTGTTCACCTGCAGCCCACCTTCTCTTCCTACTCTCTTGCTCCAGGTTATCAAATCTGAGAGCTCTTTCTTATTCCCCTTTCCCATGATCTGTCTTCTGCTTTGAAAATGCCCTTATTAACTAAAATCACTTCACCCACTGTGTGAGAACTCACTGCATATTAATAAAAGAGTCTCTTCCGAGGTAGACTTATGTCCTTGGTACCATTTTTGTATCCCTGGCCACTTCCTCGGTACCTGGCTTAACAAATGTTTGGTGAATTAAATGAGTGTGATTTACAAAGAGTGTTTCCTGCCTGGAAGGAGCATAAACATCTGGGGGTGGGGAGGGAAAGATGAGAAGGAAGAGGTGAAGGAGGAAGGAAGGGAGGGAGGAGGAGGAAAAAAAATAAGAGGAGAAGGAGGAAGGGTGGGTGAGTGGAGGGTGGAAGGTAGATTGATTTCGATTTGGATTGGGGAACCAGTGAAAACATGATGTAAAAAGGGTTTAAAGTGAACCTTGGAGGCAATCTCAAAAACTGCTTATTAGGAGGTAGAAAAGAAGACTATGGAGGGCGACATGGACATTAAACGAGTGAGGAGCATTTAAGAGCTCAGGGAACAGAGTCTGAGGGAGAATGAGAGGAGGGGGCTGGATGTGGTGGAGGGAGGTGTGGTGTGGTGCAAGGGTGGCACAGAGAGAGTGATAAGCTTCAGTGACACCAGGAAATGCCAGCTTTCCTAAAACTTGGGTGACTGCATTGCTTACTGTCCAAATGAGACTCTTGAGAATCTAGGGGGCACTGTTAACTATGCTGAAACACAGAAAGTAAAGGGCCTACCTCAGGCAGACTGGGATGGAAGGCAACCATGAAAACCACTCCTCTAATCTGTTGCATCCTGATTTATCCTTCTCGGATCTCCATAGCATCCCTGCCACATGGTTCAGCACTCAGTCATTTCCTATTCATGTAAACAGTGCTATGATTTGTTTTCCCAACTTGGTTACCAGCTTCTGGTTATCCGTGGGCTTCAAGTGATTGAATTCTCCATGACATGACTGAAGCCTTAGTTCTTAGTTTTTGTTAATGGGAACAATAACTCTAGCAAAGTCAGCCTACGGAAACACAAATACCAATGGAAAACCCACAGCACATAGGTACCATGATTTCAGTTGTCCCTTTATGGCCCCAACTCCAGGGCTCATTGTAGAATCAGCTCTACTGTAGCTGAAAGCCCAGCCTTTCTGTGCAAGAATGAAGGCCATAGCTCAAGCATTCTCCTCTCAGAGCCAATGAAAATGCTGCAAAGTGCTCTGTGGAATTACAACATTACTTCTTCATCCAGACCCACAAGATACCTACCTGGACTATTCAGAGACCAATTGTAGGGTGTCAGTCTTCCTTGTTTCCAAAAATTGCTGTGGGATTTGACTAACACTGGCTTATAGAAATGTATCTTTTCCCTTAGTCTTAACATTGATAAACATGTGGATGACGGAATGTTAAGTTCACCAAGTTTCTGAATAGTTCACTTGAAAGGTTGGTGGCTGTGTTGCTCTTGGTGCCATGTAATGAATTGCTTTTTTCAACACTGTGCTAATTAATTGAAAATGCTGTTTTGCATGTTTCTTGTAGTTTATCCTGAGTGTCAGACTAGATTATAGGATCTCATATATGTTGTCGATATATAAAAAGGAGTTCGGGGAGAACAATGACAATGCTGAGACATCTGCCAATGGCTCTCCAGATACCTTACTACCCTCAGGTAGGTTTTCTGTGACAGTATTTATTGTTTTCATAAGAACTTAAAGGCAACTTTCATATTTTAAAACATCATGGTATTTCTATTAAAGGAAATGTAGACATGGTCTCCACTAATAACATGAAAGGATCAAGACAGAACATTAAATAACTTGCCTAAATGGTGGGGAGCATATTTGGTGTTAATTGACACTAAATCCCATGAATGCTTGTCCTTTGTAACTCTTACAACTCTATGAGGGAGAGGTATTATTTCTTGTGCCATGGTACTGATCTGCAAACCCAGGGTAGAGGGGGTAAATTACTTGCTAAAGGTCCTGAAAGTTGTGGAAGAAGGACCCCCAGCCCTTACCCCCACCATGTCTCTTCAGTGCTAACCTGTATCTTAAGCATTGTGTTTTTTGATGAAAATCTAAGAGACATTTTTCTGCCTGGATCAGGAGCAGAGTGTAACAGGGCTTTCAGAAGAAAAGGTGTTTTGTGAAGAAGCCATCACCTGACTCAACAATAAAGATTGGCATTCCTCAAAGTTCTGAGAGTGTTTGTTAGTTTGACTTTGTGTGGTTTTAACTTTGCACAGTTATAAACTGGAGTTATATTTCAGTTTTCACATTTTTAAAAAGTGAAAGAATGAAGCCACTCTATTTCTGAGAGTTGGCGCATAACAATGAAACACAAAAATGGTTTAAAAAAGTTTGTGACTATACAAAGGACTTAATGATACCTAAGAAATTAAATTAGCATTTTCCCACATAGGTCAGGCTGGTCATGGCAGGCTAGAAGCTACGTCTTATGAAGTAGTTAGCTAGTGAACAGAATTCTTTTTCTGAGGATAGGATTTGCACACAGATATGAAACTTTCTTCAAACTATAACCACTGTGACAACGTTAGGGACTTCCTCCTCTTTGTCTGTCAATCAGCTTGACAGAAATGATGCAGCGATTGCAAGTGTGCAGATAAAATGGATACTAGGCCGATGTCCTGCTGTCTGTGTCTGACATCAGCAGATTCCCAAGGCAGCAGGGCCCTGCGGTTGGAGATGGGCTTGCCTGGGAGAAGTCACTTCTGGCACCTTTGCAGCACCGCTCTTTTTCGGCTTCTCAGAAGTGTAGAACCCCAAAGGGCTGTTTCCAGGAACGTGAAGGCAGAACCAGAAAGTCCTGCTGGCGGTTGCATTGACAGAAGCATAACAATTATTGGCTCCCAGAAGCCAGGCTTCGGGAAACATGAGCTCTAAGTGTCAGTAAAGCACCAGAGGGAAGGTCTAGGGGCACCTAGAAAACCTTTTGTCTCTGATTGGCCTGACTGCTTTCCTCATGTGAATCTGTAAGCGATGCCTTACAGATTGGAATGGAAACTTAGTATGGAATAACTGCTTTTCCATATGTTACTCTCTTTTCTTTTTATGCTTTGGAGGTGAGTAAATGAACTGTGTAGTTATCACTTAAACATGTTACCTTAATAAAAGTGTCTTCAAAATGTTAGTCGTGGGGAACACTAGGAACTCCTTACTAGGAACCATGATTGGTTTGCCAAGAGAAAAAACACCCCGTCCACAAGAAAAAAGATGGAATTTTAGAAGTTAGTAAGCTTAGGTAAAAACATCATGTTGTTTGGAAATGTACAATAATAAGACTCATATGTATATTTTGAGTCTTTGAAAGATTATCCTTCCATGTCATTACCTATTTAAATTATATGTATGTATATATGTATGTTCATATGTATTTGTATATTCATATGTGTAGGTATATGTGAACTCTGTGTGTGTGTGTGTGTGTATGATAATGATCATATAGATAAGAGGCACCTTTGTAAATGGTGTTTTCTGATCTTCAAATGTATTTTTGACTAGCCAGGCACAGTGACACACACCTATAATCTCAGCTACTTAGGAGCCTGAGGCAGGAAGATTGCAAGTTTGAGACCAGCCTTGGCAACTTGATGAGACTTTATCTGAAGGGAAAAAAAAAGGGCTGGGGATGTAGGTCAATGGTGGAGTGCCCCTGGTTCAATCTGTAGTACCGCATAACAAACAAATATACATATCTTTGACTACAGTAACACATTAGTTTAAAACATAGCTTGCATTAACAAAAATGGAAACTTAGTATGCATGAGGCCCTGGATTCAATACCCAACACTAAAATAAATAAGTAAATGGAAACTTCAGTTAAAACATTAATGTCTCCGCAAGGCTATATTTTAATTTTTAAACTATTAGTTGATCTTTGGTGGCCTAAATAAAGGAAGGCAAAAATAAGTTCAGGTAAATTAGTATTACTATGAATATGGTGGCTCCTGATTGGGATAAGATAAAGATTTTACCATCTATCTTTGCAGCTATTGTTCCTGATATAGATGAAATTGCAGCTCAGGCAGAAACTATGTTTGCTGGAAGGTATAGTAACACTCAAGTGTCTTTATTTTACTTGTGAGTAAGATTTTACCTGGAATTTTATCAATAACATTTTGTTGTTCACCTCCCTATACATATTTATTTTTAGATCTTCTGTTGTTAACATAAATTTCTGCCAGAAATGAAGCAGCTAATATACTCTAGAGGAGAAAGCATAGTTCTCCTTTAAGTCAAGTAAAAAAAAAAAAAAAAAAAAGAAAAGAAAAAAGAGATCAGATCAGTGTATTGAACTTTTCCCTGAAGTCTTTGCTTTTCTTTCCTTAAATAATGACAGCACAAGAATGCCCTTTAGCTCCCCTGATGTAAATATCACTGCGTGTTGTAAAACATTATTTCCTTGAATCTCACGTATTCCAGGCAAGAAAGTAACTTCTTTTAATGTTATCATTAACTTGATATGTTAACAATAAAACTATTTTCTGCTAATTGGAAATATCCATAATTAAAGAAAACAGTATGCGTTTGGCCTGACTACCCTCCTTTGTTTTGGGCACTCTTCCCTTTATTGTTTTGAAGAGTTTCTTTTTTCAGAAATGAAATTAATAGCAACCAAAACAAAAAGTAAAAGAAGCTAAAATTATTGAGATTCTAACATTCATTTTTATTACAGAGTTGACATAAGAACCTAAAAAAAAAAGAGTCTTCACTAAGCTTTTTGTTGCTTTTGTTGTTGTTAGAAACAAAAACAAAAATTAAGGGGAGAGAGATTTTTATCTCTAGTGAACATTTGATTTAGATTTGTTTTCATGTCACAGTTATCAGCTTTTGCTTGTTTTTCTATTGAAATGTTTTCTTATTCATAATTCTTGGGAAGAAAGACTTAACCAGTGTGTGATTTCACCTTAAAAATCCAGTCATGTGATGCTCATGGTGTTTTGGTCAAAGACAGCCACATACACAGTAGTGGTTTTATAAAATTGTAATGGAGCTGGAAGATTCCTGTGGCCCAGTCACACTGCAGCCATCGTGTTGGTGGAGGATAGTGCAGTGCTCATGTGTTTGTGGTGATGCTGTCTAGAACCTCCTGTGCTGCTAGTTGTATTGAAATATGCGACATATGATTTTGTACCTGACATGTAAATACCTGATAATGATAGTAAATGCTATGTTGCTGGTTTATACATTTGCTATATGATACTTTTTATTATGATTTTAGAATGTATTCCTATTCACTAAAAATGGTTTCTATATGCTCTGTTATACCACCAGCACCCTCATTATCTTGTCTCTTGTTTGTATCATTTTTTTCTCTTGTGCTTAATTTAATCTTCTTTTGGGGGAGGAGTACCAGTGATTAAACTCGACCACTGAGCCACATCTCCAGCCCTATTTTGTATTTTTTTAGAGACAAGGTCTCACTGAGTTGCTTAGCGCCTCGGCTAAATTGCTGAGGCTGACTTGGAACTCATGATCCTCCTGCCTCAGCCTCCCAAGCTGCTGGGATTACAGACATATACCACTGTACCTGGTTTAATTTAATCTTGTGTGTTTTTTGTTTATCATGGCTGTAAAAGCAATAGAACCCCCCCCCCCCCACACACACACACTTCATATTATAGGTGCATAGTAGGCACAAGTATACTCTATAATGTTCACATGGTGATGGAATCACCTAATGATACATTTCTCAGAGTGTAGCCCCATTATTAAACAGCACATGACTGTAGATCGGCCTTTTACTCCACTAGAGTCTTATTCAGAGCCCCATTATACCAAACACAGAGCTGCTCTTGTGATGGTCTTGTACATGTGGCCTTCCCTTCTCTAGCCCCTCCCCACCTGTCATGTAGGGATCTCTTAGGCTCTGGGGAAAAATCAATCATTGGTAGATATTCTCCATAAATACTCTGAATGTGTTCAGATGCCTGTCTTTCCTCTATGCCTAGGTGGCCAGCTCATCCTGGTTTTGCCTAGGAACCTCCTCAGTCTTGGACAAACTAGGATGGCTAGTAACCCCTACTTTTAAGGACAAATACAGGGTTTTCTTTGTAATTATTTTCTCATCAATTATATGAGGGGATCTTCCCATTCGCTTCCTAATTTGGGAAAACAAGTCATTTAACTCTGAAAACATAGATACAAGTTTAATCACTTTAATATAAGATGTTATGTAAATATGTTATTTTAATATTGTTTTTGTTTTTATAGAAAGGAAAAAAATCCAGTGCAACTTGACGATGAAGGAGGCAGGACATTTTTACGGGTCCTCATTCATCTGATCATGCACGACTATGCTCCTTTGCTGTCAGGAGCCCTGCAGCTACTCTTCAAGCACTTCAGCCAGAGAGCGGAAGTTTTACAGGCATTTAAACAGGTGAGCTTGTTGACAGAAATGTATCTCCGTGGTAGGGCAATTGCCAGGTATATACCATACGTTGAGTTCCTGAATTCAATCCTGGCACCTTAAAACAAAAAGGAATAAAAGAAATAAACAGGTAAGATTGAGGGGTCCATAGCTGAAACTTTGAAAATGTCACCCACCCTGATTTCATGGTTGTAGAATTAACGAGACTGCGTGGCTTTTGCTGGAGATGCTTTATATTTTTAAAGATACAGATGGTCTTGTCTACGTCAAGAGTTCCTCACAAGAGATTTTCAGATAATGTCTTTAATATGAGTGACAGGCACTAAGGTTTAAGAAGGCACTGGAAGATAATACGTTAGGAATTTTGTTGCCTTTGTTATTATTTTGACCCCAAATTTTACTGATATATTGGGAAGGACAAGTAGTAGCTCTGAAATAAATACTGTGACTCTGAAAAAAAAAAGAAAAGGAATTGTTATGGAATTAATCTTTCTCTTTGATCTTTGAATAAGACATCAGTTTTGAGATTATTAGTCATACCTAAAGGTTTATGTATATGTCACTAATATTTATTTTATTTAATAAGGCATTGATCTTTATTAGGAAGTTTTCTCAGAATGTGCTAAAGAATATGAAATTGACTAAAAGGTAGTCATATAAAATTATATGTATGTAAATACATATAATTTTGCATATGTGTGTATGTCATAATCCTTAGAAATTATAATAAAATAAAAAATTAGATTATTAAGCTTAGATTAGATCTCTATATTTTTTCTGCCACTTTTTAAAAATGTTTCTACCTATTTTTAAATAGTCTCAGAAAAATTGATCTCAACAGTGAAATTATGTTAATTCTTTTTATGTTAAATTACTTTTCACCAACTTTGCAAAGTTTAGCTAAGGCACATTTTTGTAAAAAATAAAATAAAATTTTTTATAACATGTCAATATATTGGTTATATCCAGGTAAGTTTTCATGGTCAATATACATCTAAAATATTCACAAATGTTCTAGAAATATCAAACTCTACATAAGATATATTTTAAGACTCAGAGTTTAGGCATAAAAGATATAGGAATAAAGAGAGTTGTAAAAATGTTCTAAAGTTTAACATTCTGATGTTTTCAGGTGCAACTGCTGGTATCCAATCAAGATGTAGATAACTACAAGCAAATCAAGGCAGATCTGGACCAACTTCGACTGACTGTAGAAAAATCTGAGTTATGGGTGGAGAAGAGCGGCAGCTATGAGAATGGAGAGATAGGTGAAAGTCAAGTCAAAGGTGGCGAAGAACCAAATGAGGTTGGTTTCCAAGTTCTACTTTGAACTAATCCAAGCAGTATCTTTTAAGTCAGATATGTATGTAGCCACATGCTTTATAATCAAAATTGTTTGTAAGACAACTTTTGTCTGAGCTTCAGAATATAAAATTTCCCCTATGTCAACGAACTCCACACACCTGCCCTTTGATTCTTGTCAATTGCTACTACCTATGACCTCATCTGTGTAATTTTTTACTCTGTCTCATTTTCACTATATCATATAATTCAAGAATCATGACCATAACAGGCCTATGGAGAGGGGAATTTTTGTTGTCACTATTCAAAGTGCCTGCTTTTCACCAACCTACAAATCATTTCTTTCATTCTGTCCTTATATAATATATAAAAATATCTAAATAGAAGGACGATATGCTTTATTGTCAACACAAAAATACCAAGAATTTATGCTTGAGCTAAAGAGTGAACTAAGGTGTTGATCTTGAGTCTTCTGTTTTAGTCTTTAGTGGGTTTAATGAGTTGTTCTTTTCCCATTTTACTAATACATAGGACAATATATTCTTTTTGCACAGTGTTAGTGGTAATGCTTAAATAACAGCAGACCATCACAATTGATAATCCATAAAGTTTCTTAAGTGCCTGTCAAATGTTTTATTTCGTTGCTTTTTAATCTGCAGGAATATAAGCTATTTAGATAGGCTTAACTGCCTCAGGTTTGCTGTTGTTTGAGAACTCAAGTCATTTTGGGGTGAAGAATGATAATAGAACAGGTGATAATTCGAATAATCAAAATGCTGACTAGTTTCAAAGGGGGGTTGGATTGATAGGCTACTACTTCTTACTTGTCTCAGGTAATTGTCGCTTATCAATAAGAAATTTTTTTACTTCATCTTTCAGAAACTTTTCTTGTGATTTTTGTAATGTGTTCATAGAATGCAGAATTTCTACTCCATGAATATTTATTTTATGACCAATTTGGGATGGTGGGAGAATAAAGTTCTCCCATAATGTATTTAAGACATAAGAGAAGACTTAACATTTATTTAGTACTTGCTACATTCCACATTTTAGAATAAATATTTTTATCTATGGAATCTCTTTTTAAATGTTTCAGCAAACTTTGGAGTCAGTTATAAGTATTACATTCCTAACGCTAAATACACTGAAGCTCAGAGGAACCAAGAACCTCCTTAATGTCAGTCAACTCTGTGACTTAACTGAAATTTGAACCCAGCTTTTTTGATAACAAGATCCAGGTTCATTAGTGTGAAATTTCATTTTCTGAAATTTCATTTAATGATACTTGTGAATATATTATGCTTTCAAAAGTTATAATATCTTTTTCTTTTGAAAAATACATATTTTACATGTATTCTAGGGAATAGGAATACATGCATTCCTTCCTTTTTCAAAAAATTCCATTCTTAAAAAAAATGAACCTTAGGAAAACACATTTTATTTTTTGTAGGACTTTGAAAACAACAACAACAACAATAATAAAACAAATCCTAAGATGAGAAGAATCTCTTCTACATTAACATGGAAGATGTTAATCACTACTTGTAGTTTCCACACACTGAGGGAAGATGGTAGAAAGAGCCTCTATCATAGTGTGTATGCATGGTCTCCTCTTAAAAGTTTCACAAACATTTTGTATTTATGTAAAGAAAGAAGAGAAACAAGTGGTTTGATTGAGGAAATCCTAAAGATAAAGCATTACATTATATAAGTAGTAGGGTGACATTAGTTACCAACAAGTTATATAACCCATTTTCTGGGGGTGTCAGATGAATAGGAGTCAGTGAAATTGGTATTTATTTGTTGAGTTCAGGATTTATCAGTTCAGGAAAAGGTAACAATTTTAGGTACTTTAAGGAGGAAGTGATTTAATACCAGGACTTAAATACTGGAGGAGTACAGTTTGGAGGTTGCCCTGGCATTAGAGATTGCAAGGGTCAGAGGTAAAGAAGCTGCTTTGGCTATTGCCTTTGTTGCTGCAATCACCACCACTGACTCACATTTTGAAAGCATGTGGAAAGATAATACAACATGGTGTTCATGGGAAACACCCGTGTCTACTGGAATTTTCTCATAGTCCCAAGGAGATAACCTTTACTTTTCCTTCTGCCGTTCAAGTTCCACCTGAGTTTATCTCATTGGCAGAAGGTAGAATGTAGAATTCTAGCTGCAGGGGATTTGGGATACTAGTCTTTGGTTCAGGGGACCTCACAGGCTGGGAATGAATAGTGAGTGTCAGTTAATAATATGCAGCATAGAGATGATTTGCTTAGGTGATTGATACCAGGAGATTTGGAATGAGGCAGTCCAGAATTTGCCTCTTAGTATATGTGTGACTTTGAGCAATTTGTTTTCATTATCTAAGTTGCATTTTTATCCTCTATAAAATGGACATAATAATGATACTTAGCTTGAAATGCTATAGATTGAGGGACATCTTATATTTAATCTAAACTACTCCTACAGTCCATTGGTTTAGAGGTAAACATGTGGCCATATTTTGGCCAAAAAGCTATGAGGTAGAATCTATTGAGGAATACCTGAGAAAGATTCCCTTGTTCCTAAACAGGAGACCCAGAAATAGTTCCTCACAGTGGTATGCACAGATGTGACGTCTAGGCAGTAGCTCCCACAACGCCACCAGGAGAAAGATCAGCCTCAGAATTAAGCCCAGCAACCCAGGGTGACAACCTGAGGCAAGGAATTGGAGCCTTACTTCTTGACTTGTTGGTAACTAATGTTACCCTACTATTTATATTTTCATGTTGTTTATACTTCTCCACTGAAGCTGCATTAACTGACACACATCACATGCACAGGGCTTGCTCACTTGATGCCCATGCTGAGTTACATAGGGGAACAATGGATGCAGAAAAACAAAAACAAAAAACGAACAAAAACTGGAATCTGCTAGTAAGTATGAGTAAGAAAGGATGTTGGGTAGCAACCAACAGTGTCTACCAAAGTCAGCATTCAGTTAGTGTTTATAATAATTATTATTTGTTTTTATGGGAAAAACGTTGTGCTATTTACTATGGTGAATATAGAATTATAAAACCTTAGAGTTAAAAGATACTTGGAGGGGTAATCAAATCCAATACCTTATAGGATATGTGATACATTTCTTAAACTACAAACTTCTGTGATTGAAATTAATGTATAGCTTAAGAAATAGAATATTACCGGTAAGAAGTCCCCCCTCCTCCTTCTCTTCCTCACCTATCTTCTTCCTCCCTTCTTCTTTATTGACTTTAATTGGATATAATTTACATATCTATCTCGATTATGTTTTTTCTTTAATATGTTCACTTGAATTATGTAAATCTTAAATAGACCTTCTACCATAGTAACTTTGCATCAGAGAATAAAAGTATCCAATTTTTTTTATATTGCCAGACTGTTTACTAATACTTTGTGTAGGGTTTTACGTCTACATTGTCAGTGACATTGACTTGCAGTTTTCCTTTCTTGTCTTGTTCATACAAGTGTTGGTATCAAGGTTAGACTAGTTCTATAAAATGAGCTGAAGCATATTCTTTTTCTTTGTGTAAGACTGGAATTATCATTTAACATTAATGTTAAAACTCGTGTGTAAAAGTTGCTGGGCCACATATTTATTTTGTGGTAAGATTTTAATTACTGATTCATTTTTTAAGATTAATTAATTTATTCTAATTAGGTGTATATAAAAGCAGAATGCATTTTGATTCATTGTACACAACTTTTCATTTTTCTGGTCGTACACGATATAGCATCGCACTACATGTGCAGTCATACATGTACCTAAGGTGATGATGTCCATCTCATTCCACCATCTTTCCTGCCCCCATACCCCCTCCCCACCCTTTCCTCCCCTTTGACCAATCAAAGTTCCTCCATTCCCCTCCCCCCATTACGGATCAGCATCCACTTATTAGAGAGAACATTCGGCCTTTGGTTTTTTGGGATTGGCTTGATTCATTTTTAAAAATGGTTATTCAATTAACTCAAACTCTTCTATTAAGACTCAATTTGTTGTTTATGAGCCATATGTTTTAAGTCTTCAAGTTTATTGGCATTAATTGGTTCATATTTGTTCATCATCCTTAAAAGTTTTTAATTTAAATTAATTTTACTTTTTAACCAATGCATGGAAATAAAAATAAATTGTACACATCAATGGGGTGCCATATGGAGTTTTGAAACGTGTAATTCTATAATGTTTAAATCAGGTTAAACGTATTTGTTCCTTCAAATCGATTATGTCTTTATGGTGAAACATTCAAAATCCTTTCTGTTGAAAGTTAAAGTAATATTCCTGTTACCATTAGTCATACTACTGTGCAAGAACACACGGACAAATGCAGAACACTTCATGTTTATATGTCACCCTTGTGCAGAGCCATGCTAATTTTCTCTGTATCATTCTAATTTTAGCATATGTGCTGCTGAAGCTAGCTCCTTCACCTTCTTTTTCTTTCTGTGGTATCTTGGCTTTCTTATCCACTTTTTATTCTTAATACTGTTTATTTTTGTCTCTCTTCTATCTCAGTTTTGCCAGAGTTTTATGTATTTTTCATTCTTGTAAAATAATCTCTTTTTGTCTTTGTTGGAATTCTGGATTTGTTTGCTATTTTATCATATGTATTCTACTGTTTTCTAATCTTTTATGTTGACAGACTTTTGAAGAAAATTTAATGGTGTGATTCCATTCTAAGGAGTTGAGTGCCACAAATTTTGACAAATTGTATTTTTATTACTGTTTAATATTAGTTATTTTTAAAATTTTCCATTATGATTTTCTTTTTCAACTCATAATTTCTTAGGAGTGAGTTTCTATATTTCCAAATATATTGAAATCTTTGCCTTTAAAAAACTGAATTCTTTATTAACTTGTGACAAGGGAATGTGGTTAGGATAATGTAATTTCTCCTAAATTTATTGAGTCTTGGTTTTTGGTCTATCATACCTTCAGTTTTTTTAAAGTTCTAGATAGAATTGAGAAGATATGAGGTATGAGATTCT